TCAGAACACTGCCAAGGAAAACAGGCCACATAAATAAGCATTAATGCAGTGGGGATAGAACATCCTTGAGAGAGAACCTATAACCTCCAACAAAGTTGGCAATACTGAGATCAGTATTATTGTGGGAATAAAGACAACATTAGCTGTGTTAAATCCATATGGGTCTTCTCAGATCAGAAAAGCTATGTTTGAATTTAGGGCCAGCTCTCCCAGTAGGCATTTATCCTGCTTGATTTAAGGCACAATTCCCTCTAGCTTCTATCTTTTCTACCCACCATGGTGCCTGAAATCCTTACTATTAGTCACCCAATTCAATTCAATCCAGTTCAACAAACATTAATTAATCATAAAATTGAGGAGCTGGAAGGGACCTTAGACATCACCTCTCCATGAAGAGCCCTTCTTTTTACAGGTAAGGAAAGTGAAATCTAGAGAGGCAGCATTAATTTGCTCGAGATGACAAAATAGTAAATATCAGAACTAAGATCTGAACCCATTTCTGATGGTACAGTAGTCAAAGTTACTTAACTTTTGGAGGCCTCAGTTTCCTTATTTGTAAAATGAAGGACTTGAACTTATCTCCCCATTCTAAAATCCAACAAAGGAATACTCACACTTAACCTAAGCATCTTTGGGAGAATAGCACATACCCCAGAGGGGCTAGGACTGAATTGGTGGCATTTAACATGGGATTCTTTATTCTATAGAGCGAGCAAGTCTAGCAACTGAACTGGCACTACTGTTTTCTTTGGTATAGTTCCTGGTGAAATTGTTACAAAAATAAACATCTTTTCAAATATCCTACATTAGAGGAGTTGCTTGGTTGGGTTATATTTCTATGAAAGGAGAAAATGGAAATAGTGGCAGTAATGTCTCTCTATGACTAACTTACTCTCTACTGTTTCTAATTTTTCCATAGAGACCCAAATTACATCATCATCATCATCATCATCATCACAGATATTTATATAGTTCTGTAAAGTTTGAATGCTTTATTTTGCTCATATTATCTCATTGTCATATTATATCATATCTCACATGAGCAGCTAAAGCTCAATAAATTGAGTATCTTGTCTTCAGTTCTTAGAGGGTCTAGTTGAGAGTGTGTATTGCATGCAAATATAGTGACCTTTGAGATGTTTTTAGTTTGTTTTGTCTAGACTTGTGATTTTATCACTACGGGGAACTTCCAATGTGGATACTCCTTTCACCAATGCAGATCAGCAATTCATCTTTAACCTAAAGGTTTAAATGATTTCTTGAGATCCTGAAAGATTAAATGACATGTGTGCAGTCACACAGTAAGTCTATGTCAGATTCAGGACTTGAAATCCTATCTTTTTAATGCCAAAGCTCAGGCCTGTATCCACTACACTTACCAGTTTAGAAGTCTTACCCCTCCATAAATAATAACTCTTGAGTTCCATTTTAGAGCCCAGGCGACTACATTTTGTTAACTCATTTACTTTAATGCAAAATTCTACGCAATCAGTCATTCAACAAATATTGATTATCTAATGTGTACAAGGTAGAAATGAGATGAAGTGGGATAATGGGTATAAAGCTTTTACTAGTCATAAAAAGCTGTTTATAGGTAAGCTGGCATGCATGTTCTTATGAAAGCACCATGGAGATACAGAAAAGTCCCTAAGTCAAGAGAACAAAAAAAGTGCATTGCGCATATGTGACACTCATAGAATTAGTAGAACTTTGAAGGAGGTAGGGGCCCCCATTGTAGCTACTATAACTTGATTTCCAAGAGTGGCAAGAGATCCTTCAGCGTTAGGTGTCTAAACCTTTCAAGAACTCCTTGGGCCATAATTGGGACTACACTAGCTCTCTCATTCATTCATTTATACATTTATTTATTCATCAAATATTATTATGTACCTACTATGTTCAGAAGATACTGCTTGAATTGCATTGGGGAAGCAGATGAACTTTAAAGACAGCACGAAATGTAATATACAGTGTTTATAAGTGCATAGGATTAGAGAACTAACCTTCTCTACATTCTGACATTTCTTCTTATGGCCATTAGGCATTGTAGGTTCCAAAATCAGATAATGCCTATGAACCCTTCAACTGCATGATGAGAGCCAATATATGGGGTATACTTCAGTCCCTACCCTGATCATAGCCCTTGTAAGGGCTACCATAATCATTCATTCATGTAAAAAACATGTATTAGTCTCAAAATATGTGTTATTATTATATTATTAAATATTAGCACTGAGCTAAGTGCTTGAGGATGTATAAAGATAAGACACAGACCCTGCCATGAAGTTCCTTGCAAAATACCATAGCATGGTGATGTGACATTTACAGAGATAAATAAAATAATACAGGATAGGCCATTATAAAATGGAATAAGTGGAATATAAAGAACTGTGAGATCAAATGGTCAGACAAGAATGTACTTCCATCTTTGGGAGACTAAGAATTATTTATTGAGCATACACTGTAAGTTTCAACAAATTACATTATATAGGACTGGTTGAGACTTGTTGGGAAGGACGGTGTCCTCAAATATGAAGATCTCAAGGCATCGTCAATTGCCCATTGGACATTTTCAACTGATATGATAGAGGCATTTCCTACTTACTATATTCAAAACAGAACTCATTCCCCACCCCTCTAAAAAAACCTACCCATCTTCCAAGCCTCCCTATTGCTGTTGAAGCCACCACCATTCTCCCACTCTCCCAGAGACAAGACTCAGGCATTAATTATCCTTGATGCCTCACTGTCTGTCACTGCACATGTGTGCTCCATTAACAAATTTTGCCCCATCTACCTTTAGAATATTGCTCACATTTGATCCCTTCTCGGTATTCACACAGCTGCCACCTTCATGCAGACCCTTATGACTTCTGGCCTAGAATCTTGAATTGGTCTCTTCATTGACCTCCTTGCCTCAGATCTCTCCCCTTTCCAGTTTTCCACACTGATGCCGATGTGATTCTCATTAAGCTGATACCAGGTCACTTTTTTTCTGAATAAATTCCAGTGGTTCTCTATTGCCTTTAAGATAAAATATAAACTCTTCTGTTTAGCTTTTTAAAGCTCTCCACAGGGGCAACTATGCGGTACAGTGGATAGAGCAGTGGCCCTGAAGTCAGGAGGACCTGAGTTCAAATCTGGTCTCAGACCAAACTCTTGATACTTACTAGCTGTATGACCCTGGGCAAGTCACTTAACTCCAACTGCCTTAAAAAAAAAAAAAGCTCGCCACAGTTTGGCTTCAACCTACCTGTACATTACCCACCCTCCCTCACTCTGAGATACAGTCAAACTGGCCTTCTCTCTATCTTTTATATATGACATTCCATCTTCCATTTCCTCACCTTCATGATAGAAACCTCTCAAGACTGGAAGGCAAGCCCTCCTTACCTCTTTCTCATAGAATCCTTCTCTTTCCTTAAGATGGAGCTAAAGTAGGGTAGCTAGGTGGAGTGGTGGATAGAGCACTAGCCCTGAAGTTAGGATAGACCTGAGTTCAAATCCAGCCTCAGGCCAAAACTTGACACTTACTAGCTGTGTGACCATGGGCAAGTCACTTAACCCCAATGGCCTCACAAAAAAAAAAAAAGACATAGCCAAAGCACTGTTTTCTACACAAAGCCTTTCCTGATTCCCAACTCTAGTTCTCTCCTTTCCAAACCACCTTCTATTTAAATAATTTATATTTATTCTATATATGCACAAATATGCATAGTGTATGTATATTCATATGTACTTATTGTCTCCCCACCTTTAATAATAATAACAATAAAAACTAGCATTTATATAGTGCCTTCTATGTGACAAGCTCTGTGCTAAGTGCTTTGCAAATATTATCTCATTTGATCATTTCAACAACCCTGGGAGGTGTATTCTATTATTATCATCTCTATTTTATATTTAAGGAAAATGAGGTAAACAGAGTGACTTGCCCAGGGTCACACAATTAGTAAGTATCTGAGATTTGAACTTGGGTCTTCCTGACTTTAGGCTTAGAGCTCTATCCACTCCCAAGCTCTATCCAGATGCCTTAGAATGTGAAGTCTTCAAAGGTAGAGATTGTTTCAGTTGTTTTTGTTCTTGTATTCCCAGCACCTGGCAGATAGCAGGCACTTAACAAATGCTTGTCGGTTGATCTAGTTCTCTTTATTCTAAGTCTTTAACTCCCTCCATCTTCCCCGTCTCCTGCAGAGGAATGTCTATTCTCAGTTTCTCTGTGTTAAGATTGATACCGGCTGTTTTTTAAATACCTTACTTTGGAGACATTTCTGAGCCTTCAAATATTGGAAGCTTTTGTTCTGCCATTCTCTTTTTCACGTTCTGAGTTAATTATTTTGTATCTCCTACAGTGATATATATTTTTAATACTTAGTGAGGCATAGAGAATTGAGGGGGCCCACCTTGGAAGTAAGGCAGTTAGGTAGCACAGTGGATAGAGCACCAGGCCTGAAGTCAGGAAGACTCATCTTCCTGAGTTAAAATCTTGCCTCAGACACTTGCTAGCTGTGTGACCCTGGGCAAGTCACTTAACTCTGTTTGCCTCAGTTTCCTCATCTGTAAAATGAGCTGGAGAAGGATGGCAAATGACTCTAGTATCTTTGCCAACCTCAAATGGGGTCATGAAGAGTCAGACATGACTGAACAACAGAGAAAGAAAACCTTGAAATTAGCAAGATCAGTATTAAAATTGTACCTCTGAAACTGACTTTGTGACTATGGGAAACTCACTCACTCGTCCTGTGTCCAAGCAACTTTCTATAGACAAATTGTTGATCTACACCACTGGAAGGTATTCCCATACCAGATTTCCCTGTACCAATAAAATCACAGGTCCCATGAACCAATCAACAAAAACTAATAATAACTCACATTTATATAAAGTTTGGTGGTTATAGAATGTTTTATATATGCTATCTCACTTGATCTCATTTCATTCGACCTTCATGTCAGTAGGTAGTAAATAAATATTTGTTAATGGATGTTAATGAGCCACCTACCATTGTGTGGCTCAATCAATAGATCAAGGAAAAACTTCTCTTGGCTTGGCTCTGCAATGGAAACCAAGAGTTAATATCCCTTTAAAAAATACACATCAATGCAATTTGGATTAAAGTACACCTGCCCCTTAACCCTGAACAGCATGGATCCTAATCAGGAAGGCTAGATAAGGTGGTTGAAAGGTGATATTACCTTTGCTCCCTCATTCAAATAGAAGGTGCTCTCTTTAACCAAGGTGTTTCTGCTCGCTGACTTTGTGCAGAGGAATTCTTGAATACCTGCAGCCGTCCTTCCCATTATCAGCCAAAGATGCTGTTTAATTTGAAGACCTTGCTGAGGAGTGCAGCTTTCCGACAAGGAAGCCAGTTGGCAGTTCGAAATTTTCAGTAAGTGTTTGATATGGACCTTTTCTTATCCTGGAATGTGAACAGTTCTGGTGATGACTGAAATGATATTCTGCTCACAATGCAGTAAGAAAATTGCCTCCTCTAGGGGTGAACGTTGGGTCCTCTTTTTTTGAGAGGGTCATAGCCAATTTAATCTGACCAGTATTTGAGTTGTCCTTTCTTTTCTTGTTTCCACACTGATTACATTTCATTTTGGGCCTACTGTGGCAGATACCATTGTATAATTTTCATTTCTGCCATAGCTTTGGAGTTAGAACAGATTTTAGAAGTTATCTGGTCTAGTCCTTTCATTTTACAAATGAGGAAACTGAAGTCCAGAAAAAAATGTGTGACTTGCCCATTCCATTCCAGCCATATCCATTCCAGTTCATTCTATTAGAGCCCTTAAATTCTAAACAATTACCTATCTTGAGAAAATTAAAGGAACTAACTTATATTGGGCTATCACCTAATAACTGAGAGGTGAGGTGATATAGTGGATAGAGGGCAAGTTTCACAAGGACACACGAGTTTGTGCCCTGTTTCTGACATCTATTTGCTTTGGAATCTTGAGTAAGTCATTTAACCTCTGAATCAATCAATTTAATCAATAAGCATTTATTAAGCACCTGCTATCTGCCAAGACAATTCTGCTATGCACCTGTGGAGGGAGTTTCTATACTGGGCAGTTCACCTACAGGGATGAAATCACTGGTCCAGACCAGGGAGAAAAATCAGTTAATATTTGCTGCATAAAAGACATAGAAAGAACTAACTGATAGTATACCCTTCTCAACCAACTCTAATGACTTCGCATTATCTCTAAGGAAAAATATAACGTTTTTTTGTGTAGCTTTTGAAGTCATACACAATCCGGACTCAATCTATCTTTCCAGCCTCATTGGCATCACTTCCACTCTCACTCTCTGTGCTCTAGCCAAAATAGCTTTCTCTCTGTTCCTCACACATGATACTCTATCTCCCATATCTGTCCATCTCCCATGCATAGAACACATTCCTCTCTTTCTTTCACCTCCTACAGTCTTTCTCTTTCTTTAAGATGCTGCTCAATGTCAGTTATCACACCAGCATAACACATGGCTTACTGCCCAGGCATAATCAGTGACCTAATAATTTTAATAGAACACAGTTGTATCATATGTATATCCAACATTATAAATCATATTTCAAAACATAACTGCTTAAGTACTATGTTTTGTATGAAGCCTTTCCTGATTTCCCAAACTGCTAGTACCCTCCCTTTCAAACTTTATACCTCCCAAATACCAATAGCTTGTATTTAACTACTTTGAGTAGATTTGTATTTATTAATTTTGTTTTCATTCTATACGTATTTTATTTTCACTTCAGGTCTCCCCTATTAGAATGGAAAGTTCATTGGGAGAACGGATTTTTTTCATTTTTTGAAGTCTGTGCTTGGCGCCTAGTAGGCTGTCAACTGATACTTATTGATTGATTGATCTCACTCTAGGGATGCTGATGTTCATCTAATATTTGGACAGACTTAAAATTCAACACTAAAGGACTTAGAGATACATATTTTAAAAGGTCATATGTAGAAAACTTTCTGCCTAATAGGAATAATACGATTTGTTTTCCATTTACATCTGAAAACCCATTCCCTAGAACTTTAGGGCCTGCATCCATTTATATTCTCTCTGAAATGGCTATTTCTTGATTCTCGATATTGAGCCAGCAGTTGAAGAAAGATGCTTTAAAGGAAAGTTATTTTGAGGAAACAACTATAGTGGTTGCATGTTCTCAGAAAGATATATTTGTTGTAGCCCAAAGTGAGGGGCTTTCTTTTTTTCATTATAAACATGATTGTTCCAATAGGTATTTGATCTCATCAATGTGAGCACAATCTCTAACAATGCAGATAGCAAGTCACGCATGCCTCATCCTGTTCATTTTGTTCTGATCCCCCTATAAGATCACAGGTCCACCCCAAATCCTGGGGGCATTCTTAATAACCATAAACCAATTAAACCATAAACCAATTAAAAAAACAATAGCTATAAGGATTAAAATCATGTACACAAACCATAAATCCCAAACTATTTACAGTATGCCTATTAAATTCTATTCAACAAGCAGGCATTAAGAACCTATTCACTGGGAGGGTGTTGGGGAATTTAAGAGGTTGAAGGGGATACAAAGTCAAAAAAAATTAAAAATTCTCTGTCTTCTGTGTACAGTATTGGGGGATGTACACAGATAAGTAGAAGTACATACAAATTAAATACAGATTAATTTCTGAGTGCCAAGGCATGAGGACAGCACTAGCCCTAGGAATCAGAAAAGGTCTCTTGTAGGAAGGAGATGGGACCTGAGGGGCACTTTGAAGGGAGCCAGGATTTAAAGAGGGGAGATTAAGGAGGGAAGAATTCTAGGCATGGGGGGACAACCAGTGCAAAAGCAAATAGGCAGGAGATAGAATTTCAGGAACCACCAATAAGCCAGTTCTATTGGAACATAGAGTACATGTGGGTGAGTCATTTGAAATCAGCTGGAAAGATAGGCAGGAACATCAGCTGGCAACTGCATAAGGGATGAATTGGAGAGGGGAGACACTGGAAACAGGGAAACTAGTTGGAAGTCAGAACTTTGATGGCAGATTATTAGAGAGAAGGGGACAGATGTCAGAAGTGTGGAGGCAGTAGCAAAAGGTCTCGGCAAAATATAGTGCTGTTATTTTGTTAAAGTTCATGTGCATGAATTTTAATGATAGAAATAACATCTTATTTATTCAGTGACACCTGATTTTTTTTTTTGTCTGCATCCATAGCAGATTTTTAAAAAGTTTCTGTGGTGAACTTAGGGACGCAGTGTGGTGTCGCTGAAAGCACACTGGTCTGAAAAATCTGTAGACCTAGAGTCTAGATTGAGCTCTATAACTGACTCACCATGTGACCTTGGAACCCCTCTAGAACTCAGTTTCCTCACTGATAAAATGAGGGGGCGCAGACTGGAGGATCTCTGAGGTACTTCAAGGATCTAGAATTCTATGCTTCTGGCTCAGATATCTTCAAGCAGCCATGAAGAAGTCCAACAGGGTGTGCTACCATTCTCCATTCCACCCCTTCCCCCCTCATTGCTTCCTCTAGAGACACGCACACATCACGCCCAGCTACTGATGAGTTCCAGCTAAATAAAGTAAGAGCAGTTGAGTTTCAGTGAGGTCTCTGACCTTTGACATTACCCTTATGAAAGGAAAGCTATTTGACACTTGTTTGTTAAGAGTTACATTTTAACTTCGTTTATAGTCTTCAGCAAAGTGGATTTTGGCAGGAGGTTGGGAGGGTATGTTAACTTTTAATTTGATGTGTCCCGTACCTTGAAACAATAGTACTTAAAAAATGTTTTTTAATTCTGAACTGGACAAACACCAAAAAACTTAAACATTTCTGTATATAAAAGTTACAAAGAATAATTTTTAAAGAGTTATAGGAAAAAAACAAATTTAATTATGTACAGCTTTGTTTTTTCAAGTATTTACCAAATTCAGCACGTTAGTTCCAAAAGCATCCTGCTTTCCCATTTCTCTCCAAACTGCCTTCTGTTCTCTTCCATGAATTAAACAACAACAACAAAACAAAAACAAAATATTGATACTATTTTTCTTTCTTTCTTTTCTTTTTTCTTTCTCAAAATTCAGTTTCTTTCTCCCTTTCCAAAATTCCTCCCTCCCTCTTCCCCTTCTTGTCCCTTTTCTTCCTTCCTTCCTTCCTGCCTTTCTGCCTTCCTTCCTTCTTTTCTTCCTTCTCTCTCTCTCTCTCTCTCTCTCTCTTCCCTCTGTTTCCTATCCTTACCCCACCCACTTTCTCCCCACCTACTTTTTTTTTAACCCTCCTTGGTAACAAGTTACACAAAACAGATTCATGTATTGGTTATATCTAAAAATATGTGTCTCGTTCTAGAACTCTAGCCCATTGCCTCTCTTATCAAGAGGTGGAAAACATTCTTTGTTCATTGAATTAATCAGAATTCTTAAGTCTTGCACAGTAGTTTTTCTTTGCAATATTGTGATCATTATATAAATTGTTCTGGTTCTATTCACTTTACTCTGCCTCAGTTCATATACATTTCTTCCCACTTTCTTTAAATCTCTTTCATCACTTCAAACTGATCAGTAAGCACTTCTTACTTTCATTTTCTGTATGTTCTGCCATTTTCCAACTTATGGACATCCCTTTAGTTTTCAGTTCCTTGCTATATAAAAAAATTGCTATTAATATTTTGGTGTGTATATATATACATATATATGTTTTTGCATCATTTAAAATATTCTCTTTTGAGTATGCCTAGTAGTACTACCACAGGATTGAAGAATGTGGAGGTAGTAGCAAATTAATTTCCAGAATGTTAGACCAATTCATAATTTCGCCAACAGTACACTAGTTCGTCCCTCCTTTTATATCCCCTGCCACAATTGTCATTTTCATTTTTTGTAAATCTCATGGGCATGAGTTGGAACCTCAGAGTATTTTGATTTGTATTTCTCTTATGATTTAGAGCATTTTAAATGATTATGATAGCTTGCTTTTCTTCTTTTGAGAACTGCTTATATCCCTTGAATCAAAATTGTCCGTTTTCTCCCCTGTGATCATCTCTATCCCTTATTTGATCAAGAAATTTACCCCCATCCATAATTGTGAAAGATATCTCCTTTTATTGTTTTCTAACTTGTTTATGATGTAGCTTTTAATAAGACATACATTCCCTTGGAGTTTATTGTGGTATATGATGTGAGATAGTGGTCTAAATCTTAATTTCTGCCATATTGATTTCAAGGTTCCCCAGCAATTTTTGTCAGATAGTGAGTAGTTGGAATCTCTGGGTTTATCAAATTATGTTAATTTGCTCCTGTAGCTTATGTTCCTCATCTGTCTTACTGATCAACTTTTCTATTCCTTTACAAGTGCCAAATACTTTTGATGATTACCTTGCCTGATTCAGAAGGTTGTTCTGAGAATAAA